TCTGTTCGCACCGGGATTCGCAATCGAAGGGTGATTTCAGGTGTGTGCTATCTCATGAAAAACCTACCGCCATTTGCATAACTTCATTCGGTTTTTGTTTAGATTCTAGCTGCCATTCTTGAATCTTGGGCTTGATCTTTGGTAAACATCATTAGTTTAGTTACTATAGGGATTTTACTAGCCAATTATTTCCGTTTAGTATTTGATTTTCTTGTACAATATAGAATGTGGAACAGGAGTTCTTCTTTATGATGATCCTATGTTGCTTAGCCTTTCATGAGTTCTTTTGAACGACGGAGTGTCTACTCGAAAACTTCATGGCTTTCTAGTTATGAGGTTCGTAGCGTTATATGTTCACGGGATGGTGGTTTTAAGATTTAAAGCTTTCCACTTCTGATTCACAGGAAAAGATAGAAGCCTGACAGCTTTAGCAGCAGAGGCAGCAAGGGGAGCTCTTCAAATGGCTCAGGTTGATCCTGATGATGTGGACTTGATATTGATGTGCACTTCAACACCAGAGGATCTTTTTGGGAGTGCTCCACAGGTATATGTATAAGCTCAGTAGATCATTTATCCCAATATTGAACTATTAATGGATCTGAAGTAGAATAGATAGAACATATGCTAATGAAATACTTGCCTTAAAACTGAACTTCTGGGCTGGATTTTGGTCAGGTACCTCAACTCGACCTAGTTTACGTAGGTAGTGCTGAACTCCTCTTTAAAAGACCCAACCATTAACTCTGACTATTTATTGAGTATGCACTGTTGGATGACTCGCTTATTGTTGTTATACTTATATAACGTCTTTCTGATCCCAATATTAGACCTTTTATATGTAACAGCCTAAGCCCACCGCTAGCAGATATTGTCCTCTTTAGGCTTACCCTTCCGGACTTCCCCTCAAGGTTTTAAAACGTGTCTATTAGGGAGAGGTTTCCACACCCTTGTAAGGAATGTTTTGTGTCCCTCTCCAACCGATGTGGTATCTCACATTATATTTGTTCATTTATGGATCCTTATCCAACTGTTTCGAAATTTTTTCTTGCTTCGGTGGCCCAAAGAATGGTTATGCCTATGTTGTGGGAGAGCTTGATGGACTTTTTAAGATCTATCAACCTTATCTCTTGGGTCTAGTGGTTAAAAATATAGTTTCCTAAAAGAAAGTTGTGAGTTCAAACTATTCCAAGCCCATTGAGGACAGTGTCACAAATATGTATTAAGGATTAACTCATAGAATGCTTGTGTGACCATTGCTTCAACCTTTGGTTAGAGAATCGTGATAAATATTCTTAACGTTGCAAGTATCGAGGGGTGTTCTGTTGGCTGGTTCATTTTGTTGGTTCCGTCCGATAACTAACTTGGTTAACTATTTTTGCTCTTATGGATGTCGGTCAGGAGGTTTCGTATAATTCCTAGTTGGATTAGCTTTGGCTTATGCACCCTACCCCATTCTACAAGATTGGCCATTTCTGTGGCTTGTTATTGTACTGATTGATCTGTGCAGTTTACCGAGATGCGTATTTTGAGTGAAATTATCCTATTTTAGCGAACTTTGGCGTTCAGTTGATTTTTTTCTTTCGATATTACTGGATCTATCCAAACTTTATGCTGTTCTAATTATGCTCCACTGCTTCCCAGGTCCAAAAAGCTCTTGGTTGTAAAAGAAATCCTCTGTCTTATGATATAACAGCTGCATGTAGTGGATTTCTACTGGGTTTAGTATCAGCTTGTAGTCACATAAGGGGTAAAGAGTCCTGGTTTGTTCTTGTTGCTTGGATCATTGTCCACCTTGGGTTTTAAAGGAATAATGAACCACCTTACCTGGTAACTGCAGGAGGTGGATTTTCTAATGTTCTTGTCATTGGTGCTGACGCTCTTTCTCGCTATGTCGACTGGTCTGATAGAGCATCCTGTATTCTTTTTGGAGATGCTGCTGGTGCTGTACTCGTGCAGGTAAAAGTTCTATAATGGGTCGGTATACGACAGCAACTGTTTGCTAATAAGACCCCGATATGTGTAGTATATCGCATACTGATTGCTGACGTTTATTAAGAGTTCCTTTGAATAACTTATTTGGTTTCAGGCATGTGATACTGAGGAAGATGGTTTATTTGGTTTTGACTTGCATAGTGATGGGGATGGCCAAAGGTATGCTTTTTTTCTGATATTCGTCGTCGTTCCATTTTATCGGTTTTGTGAGATGTTACGAAACGTAAGTCTGGAACAGGCATTTGAATGCTGGGATCAAGGAAAAAGAAATGGATCAAGAATTGGGTTCTAATGGCTCTGTGGTTGGTTTTCCTCCAAGAAATGTCACATATTCTTGTATTCAAATGAATGGCAAGGAAGTGTTTCGATTTGCGGTCCGCTGTGTGCCACAGTCGATCGAGGCTGCCCTTCAGAAAGCTGGTCTCAATTCATCAAACATTGATTGGTTGTTGTTACATCAGGTATCTGATACTCTGACTTCGGATTGTCTGTAATTTGAACGGGTTGATAAGTTAGAATGTTGGTTGATGAATATGCAGGCAAACCAAAGGATCATCGACGCAGTTGCTAGTCGATTAGAGGTTCCATCGGAACGTGTGATATCGAATCTGGCAAACTACGGGAACACAAGTGCAGCTTCGATTCCATTGGCATTGGACGAAGCGGTTCGGAGCGGGAAGGTGAAGGCAGGACATACAATTGCAACATCAGGATTTGGAGCAGGTCTAACCTGGGGGTCTGCAATTATTAGATGGGGTTGAAACTGGTGCATAGTGACAATGACACTTAGAGTTTGAGAATCCAATCCCCCTTGGCTTCTACTTTGTTTCTTTGGCTTTCTTTGTTTTAGAGATTTTGAACACTATAACTCAACTTTCATTCTTTCTTTTTGACTCAAATAATTCTGCTTCTGCTCCTTAATTTAATGTACCTTCCCTTCTCGATCCTCGATCCTCGATCCGTGTCTATTTAGTCCATAAATTTTAAAAAATTATCGTGTCAGTTTTTTTCACGATCTCTATGGTAATAAATCTCATCAAAATAACGACTTTGGCTTTGGCTTTATAATTTATAAACAAATTTGGTTTGTGGATCAATAGATAGTTAATTCGAAAGACAGGAAGTGAATCTTCTTGTGTATGATACATATTTCTTGTGTATGATACATATTTCTTGTGTATGATTCGTTAAAATCATTAGTATTTGTGATATCAATATCTTGATCTTCGAGTTTAGATTGTCGGTAAAAATTACGACACGTTTGACTTTTCTTGAACGAATTTGATGATCTTGCGCCATTTTTTTTTTTTTTTTGTCTTCTTCGTCTGGGTCAATGGATTGTTAGGTTATGAAGTCTACATATGCGGTAAAATGCTTCTATAGTAAGTAGTAGTAAGTAGTATGTACCGTAAATGGCTATATATGGTAGACAATTACTAATAACACCCTAATCGATAACGATTAACCGGAGTTACTAATGACAGATAATTTGCTTTGAAAACTAACCATAAATCAAAACATTTTATATAAATTTATAAACAACAAAAACACATGTACATAAAACAAATTCAGAAAATGATCCTCTGAACCCTCTAGCTTGGCTGTCTTGTCATCTCGGTTGCTCTCCATCACATCCATCTGAAAAGAAAAATTAAAATAATTTTGATGATTAAATTAATTTACTCGATAGCTAACTTACAAGTTTAATTATTATTACTGTTTCTAGCTATTTTAAAATTTTATTCACAACTGTGATTCTTAGTTTCTTTTACTAGGATCGTTTGTTTCTTAAGAGGTATTTCAGCTACTTCTAGCTTAAGTTATTGACTCTCTATAACCTTATTTAGAATTTTCAGACTCACTTAAGACTCGCTCTCAGTCAAATGCAGCTCGTCTACTCATTTCTTTGACAACCTGTAACATTATATAATCTAACATTCAGTAATCTTTATTGTTCTTAACTTAGCACACAGTGCGTTGGTCAAGAATTTCTCGGGAATTAGTAGACTAACTTTACTCATATATAGCCCATGTCTCAATAAACGGTAAGCATAACCTTTCTACTAACATTTATAGCATGCTCACATCTTATGCACGTATTCATATATTTATAATGTTCAATTCATGAAACATTTCGTTCTTCATCTATAGCGCTTACATTATATGCATGTAATCATAACGTACGGACAATTAATCATATCATCAACACATATATTATTACTATTTTAAGCTCTTAATCATGTAAATTTATTTTAGCGTTAATAAATGTGTATCAATATTCTTATTTTTTCGAGGTAGTTTCACACTATCAAAATTTATAATATAATTTATTAATTAGGCAGGCCAGTCATTTGGCGACATACTTTTTGTTATTATTATTAAAAAAATAGTTTTAATATAGAAAAAATAATAATTAAGTTATAATTCTCATTTTATATGGTATATATTTCTTAGATATATGTCTTTAATTATTTGAATGGTATTTAAATAATATATGTCTGAATTAATAAAGAATATATACATATATCTTACCTAAATTACTTTCGGTAGATAATTATTTTATTTATTTTTAAAATTTTGATGGAAAAAGTATATATATTTTTTAAGCAATAGTTCAATTTTTCATGCACGGTATAGGAAGACTTTTGGGGAATTCCAAAGCAAAGCCACGAGAGCTTATGTTCAAAGTGGACAATGCCATACCATTGTAGAGAGTCGTGATTCCTATAACATAGTCAGTGGATAATATCTACCATTGTAAAGAGTCGTGATTCCTATAACATAGACAATGTCAAGCACGGCTTAAAATCTTTATGAAAAAAAGAATGAGATGACATTGATTGAATGATAAGACAAATCTTTTTTATCGATACCTCAGACCAATCAATCGAGAGAAGAATGAGATGGAGATGATGAGTAAGAAATGATGATGTTATAATTGAATGATTACAAACCAAGAAATGAGGGGAGAGAAGGGAAGATGTTCATGGCTGAGGCTGTTTCAATCCTCCTTCCATATTAGTCAAACCTCCACATTTGGCTCTGTTTTTAGCTGATTTATCTCTCTCTACAGCACAGCCAAACGACAATACAACACCCCTTCTCCCTGCATTCCCCATTTATACCTCTCTTTCCCCCTTTCAACTTTCTCACCTCATTCTTCTTACTTTTCTGCAATACTCACATGGTGAAGTTGAACCCATTTTCTGCTTTCCCTGTCACCGCTGATACACCGCAAAATCTCCCTTTCTACAATCCTCTTCCTCATGAACCTGTCGAACCCGTTCAATCTCCGCCTATTCGCCGCCGACCCTTTAAGGGAGGCGTCTACATTTTTACTGGGTTGCTCTTGGTTGGCTTATTGGTCGCCATTATTTGTCAGAATGGCTTGGGACCTGCCGCCAAATTGCAAGGAAATTCCTACTTAATCTCCAAGTCGCCGAAGATATTTCGTCCGTCGTCACGTGGGGTGTCGGTCGGCGTGTCGGAAAAGGCAAATCCCCAATTTCTTGGCCGGACTCTCGCTTCGTTTCCTTGGAATAATAGTATGTTGTCGTGGCAGAGAACGGCATTCCATTTCCAACCAGAGCAGAATTGGATGAATGGTATTTTTCTTCTTCTTTCCCGCTTTCTTGGAGGATTTGAATAATGAATTCTTTCTTGTTTGTACTTTTATTCTTATGTGGGTTTGATGTGATTGAAATGTGATTTTGTGTTCTTTGTTTCTGGTTCTTTGATTGCGCTTTCTGGGGGAATCTACTTGTTTCTGGCTCAGATCCCAATGGTAAGAGATATTCATTTTGCCTTATCATTCAGCGTTGTGTGTGTTCTTCTTTTGAGTTTTTATGAGACTTGAAAACGTTACAGGTCCATTGTATCACATGGGGTGGTACCATTTCTTCTACCAATACAACCCACAAGCTGCAGTGTGGGGAAACATTGTGTGGGGGCATGCAGTGTCGAGGGATTTGATTCATTGGCTTCACCTTCCAATAGCCCTGCTTCCAGATCATTGGTATGATATCAATGGCGTTTGGACTGGTTCCGCCACTGTTCTTCCTGATGGTCAAATCATGATGCTCTACACTGGCTCCACAAAAGAGTCTATCCAAGTTCAAAACCTGGCATATCCAGCCAATTTATCTGATCCTTTGCTCATTGATTGGGTCAAGTTCCCTGGCAATCCAGTTCTTGTTCCCCCACCTGGTATTGATTTCAAGGACTTCCGTGATCCAACGACTGCGTGGCTCACCTCGGAAGGGAAATGGCGATTGGCGGTCGGATCGAAGGTCAATCGAACTGGGATCTCGTTGTTGTATGAAACAGAAGACTTCCAACGCTTTCATCTGTTGGACAATCTGCTTTGTGCTGTTTCTGATACTGGAATGTGGGAATGTGTGGACTTCTTTCCTGTATCTAAAACTGAGAACTATGGCTTGGATACGTCGGCTAATGGACCCGAGGTGAAGCATGTTATGAAGACGAGCCTTGACGATGATCGACACGATTACTATTCGCTCGGAACATATGATGAGAAGACTGGTACTTGGATTCCTGATGATCCCAAGACTGACGTTGGGATTGGGTTGAGATATGACTATGGGATATTCTATGCGTCCAAGTCTTTCTATGACCATAACAAAGGAAGAAGAGTGTTGTGGGGTTGGATTGGAGAGTCGGATAGTGAATTTGCTGATGTTCAGAAGGGATGGGCATCAGTTCAAGTAAGCCACTTGATTCTGTTCTTAGCTCCCAATTCATTCTTGATAGCATTGTAATACAATGATGTTTTGCAGAGCATTCCAAGAACTATCTTGTTTGATAATAAAACTGGGACCAATCTACTCCAATGGCCAGTCGAGGAAGTAGAAAGCTTGAGACAAGAAAGCCATGTGTTCAACAATTTGGTGGTCAAGGCAGGATCAGTGCTACCACTTGACGTTGGCATAGCCACTCAGGTTTGTTTACCATCACACCTTCCTTGTACATTTGTTGGAGAGGGGAATGAAGCATTCGTTGTAAGGATATGAAAACGTTTCCTTAGCAGTCGCTTTTTGAAATCGTGAGCAATATCTGCCAGCAGTGGGCTTAGACCGTTACAAATGGTATTAGAACTAGACACTGAGTTGTGCGTTAGCAAGGACGTTGGCCTCCAAAGGGTGGATTGTGAGATCCCACATCAGTTGGAGAGGGGAACGAAACATTTCTTATAAGGGTGTGGAAACCTCTCCTTAGTAGACGGGTATTAAAATCGTGAGGCTGACGGTGATACGTCATGGGCCAAAGCGGACAATATGTGCTAGTGCTGAATTGGGCTGTTACAAATGGTACCAGAGTTATACACTGGGGTGGATTATGAGATCCATCATCGGTTGGAAAGAGAAACGAAGCATTCCTTATAAGAATGTGGAAGTCTCTCCCTAAAAGATGCGTTTTAAAACCATGAGGCTGACGCAATACGTAACGAGCCAAAGCAGACAATATCTGCTAGCGGTAGGTTTGGGTTATTACACTAACAATCAGGTTGAAACTCCCACAGTTAGACATATCAGCAGAGTTCGAGTTGGATAAGGAAGCATTGGAGAAAGCAACCGAAACAAACGTAGAATTCAGCTGCCAAACAAGTGGTGGAGCAACGAAGCGTGGCGCATTGGGACCGTTCGGTCTTTCGATACTTGCAGACGAGAGCCGGAGCGAGCATACTCCAGTCTACTTCTATGTTGCAAAAGACCAAAATGGTAGTCTCAAGACATTCTTCTGCACTGATGAATCAAGGTATGCAATTAGTACTCCTCCACTTCAGTTTTGTCCAAGGAGATATTAAACTCAATGTTCTTGGCGCTTCAGATCCTCTGAGGCAAGCGATGTGTTCAAGCCAATATATGGAAGTGCTGTTCCAGTGCTTGAAGATGAAAAGTTCACTTTAAGAATCCTTGTAAGTTCAAGACTCCCTTCATATAAACATATCAGCTAGTTCATGAGACTTGATACTGAATTATGTGCGGCATCCAGGTTGATCACTCAGTGGTGGAAAGTTTTGCTCAAGGTGGAAGAACTTGCATCACATCAAGAGTTTATCCAACGAAAGCGATCTACGGAGCTGCTCGGTTATTCGTATTCAACAATGCATTGGATACCAACGTGACAGCCTCGATCACTGTATGGCAGATGAATCCTGCATTGATACGCCCATATCGTCCCGGTGGAGATGACTCATCTAAAAGTTCAGTTGTTTTTATACCGTTCTACCTGTTCCTATTGGTTTCATTGTTGCATCTGATCATATACAAGGGTGCGTGAGAGATAAAATTGTTTGATCGAGCTGTGTTGAGTTGAGTCAAGTCGAGTCGAACTAGTAAAATTGTGTTGGAAAAGTGTATTCCTCACGTTCCATTCATTCTTTTTAGTTTATTTGGGGGATTGATGAGAATAGTTTTTTTTTTTTTTTTTTTTTTTTTA